AGTGTCATGCTTTAAATCGCATGTGTTCAAACAGAATGTGCTCTTTGAGTAGTAATTTATAGTGTTTTCTAGTAAATCTTGGATAACTTAGATTTAAATTTGTGATAAAAGATTATTTGATTTCCAGTTATATTTCCTCTAAATCCTGTCTCCCTTATTTCTGTCTTGTCCTTTGTATTGTAATATATTTGCCTGAGTAGATCCTTGAATTTTTAGCTTTAAATCGTGTCATAAATCTGGTGTCTATTTCTATGCATGCGTCTTGTCAGCCTAGCAACTTAAGGAACTATCATAGAAAGGCAAATTTTCCAGTAACTGAGCATACCTTTGTATCTTCCTAATGCATGGAAGAGTATAGTATGTCACACATAAGTGTAATGTTGTCAATATATTGTAATGAATAACTGATGTTTCATTGGAAATGTTTAAACTGACCTGCCACATCACAAGTTACTGTTCTCTTGGCAATCAGCCATCCGTGGAACATGGGGACAGATGTCAGTGCTTGCTATACTCAGAGCTTTTGCCTCTAACCATTGCATGCGTGTGTATAATAGATGGAAAATTTAGGATTTGAAAGGAGGGAATGATTGAAGCAGAGCCATAGGCTTTAGATTGAGGAAAAACAGTTTTCTCTGATATGGAAGGCTAGAACTTAGTAAGCACTGCTCTCTGCCGGGTGCCAAACTCAGTACTTGGCCATTTTTTTTGCTATATTTAGTCCACAAGCACATCCCCGTGAGAAACCAGTTGTTGTGCTTGCCCCCAATTACAGATGTGGAAACTGAAATTTAGATCACATGATGTGCAGAGCAGGTATAAGTTAAGTCTGTTTTGATTCCAAAACCAGGACCATTTCTCCCTTGAGCCTAGATTTTTCAAGATGTTCTGATCTGCTGACAGTCTCCCTCTCAGAGGAAACCTTGGAAGTAAAAGCAGTACCCTGGGAGCAGTGGGGATTGCGGAGTTTTCTTTCTGTCAGTCTAGAAGCTCCCCCTAATGCCTGCTGCCTCTGGCCCTGTGCCATGCCCACTTCATGCTTCCTGCCTTCCTGGTGGTACACTTGTGGGGCAGTGCTGCTGCAGGTGCCAAGTAGTGATTGTCCTCAGCAGCTGTGTGTGAGCTTCTCTATGTGGCTTAGCAGAAGTGTAATTTAGTAAGGACACAGGTACAGATCCTCACTCTGTTGCTGATTAGTTCCTGGCCTGGGAGCTGTTCCTTGGCCCAGTGGAACCATGGCTTGCTCTCTTGTAAGTGAGGTAGTGATCCACACAGTAGTGCTGTTTGGAATGGCCCTGATCTGTGCCCGCCCAAAGTGAGATGCCGCGCTTTCACCAGCAGCCGGCCTCAGAGCTTACCTCTGTTCAGTGGACTTCAGTGTGGTTTGGATATTTTGGTTTTGGCAGTAAGAATTTCTCAGCAAAGGAAGCAGTCTGTTGACTTAGACTCAGACACTGTGGCCTCCTCTTGTTCACTAGTCATCTCTCCTCAGCATGTAGCCTGGTGACTTAGAGGAGACTTGCTCTGGGCTGGCTATGAAAATTAGCCTAGCAATGAGTCTAAGGACAGCAAATATGGGCCAGACAAAGACTGGTATGGGATGGTTACTTTTACACTTTAGTTTTACCTGGCAGAGCGAGGTGACTTCTTGGCACTTGTAGAAAGGTCTGAGACAAGGCAGTGGGTCCTAGCCTTGGGTTTCCTCTCACAAGAGAACAGAGGCAGAATGAAGGCCTGGTTCAATGAGCCTAGAACGCTCTGGGCAGAGCGGGGCCAATGTAGGGGAGTCTTGGTGCAAGAATCTCTTTTTGTGGGTGGAGCATAAGTATAGTGCCTTACCTCTTCTTTTTTCTTTTCTATTTTAACAAATGATTGTTTTAACCTGAAATTTTAAATGATGCCTGGTAAACAACATGGTCTTAAGTTTGATTTTTGGGTCCCTCCCAAAAATAGTTTTGAACTTTTATGATTCTTGTTAGTAATTTCAAGCATGATGGCCTTCTTTAGAGATGAGATTGCTGGACGTTAAACACGGGGCCTTGAACATACTAAGTAAGCATGCTCTGATTACCCCAGCCCACAGCAGTCTTGTTTTGTTACTACAATTAGAAATGAGAGTCAGACAAGGTGGTATATGCCTGTAATCCCAGCACTCAGGAGGCTGATACAGGAGGACTGCTGGAGTTTGAAGCCAGCCTGGACTACAGTGTGAGTTCATGGCCAGCCAGAACTGTATAATGAAACCTTATCTCAAAAAAGAGAGAGAAAGATACAGAATTTGTCTGTTTATCTGTTAAGATTATATCATATGTTATATATCCTAATTTAAGATTGTATCCTAAGTTAACATTGTATCCTATGTGATTTTAGACTTGCAGCCTCTAGAACTGTCAGAAATAATTATCTGTTGTTTATTAATACCCAGCCTATGACTATGGTAGTTTTTTTTTTTTATAGTAGCTGGAAGTGACTGGGAGAGGGAGACTGCTAACAACATAAAGCCTCCTCATCTAGATGAGCATGAAACTAGATTCCACAGTGCTTAAAAATAGATAATACTAAGACACGCTTACAGAGATGACTACTCACAAACAGGTGCCTATTTCACTCGATCACAAATGGGTGGAGAATCTGCCAAAACTGCCAAAATAAGTGAGCATGATACTTAGAGACAGATTAACATCCATAGTAACAGGGACTGGCGGTAAAACGAAGCAGGTATGACAAAAAAACAACTTGGAATCTAGTAAATGAAACAGACCTTAGCTAGAATGATACAGTCTGTTGTGGACATGGTCAAAGACGGAGCATTGGCAGTAAGTCACCAAAGGTGAGCCAGATTGCAGCAAGAGAGACAAAATGAGAAAAATTCAAGGCCCTCAATTCAGGCAGGCCTAGAGCCAGGCCCACCTATTGATGTGATAGGTGTGTGAATAGAATTGATTTGATTTTTGACTTAGAGTAACTAGAGTCTACTTTTCTTCTACCTGCCCCAGAATCTTTCTGATAAAAGATTCCATTAGAGAGAGGGCACACTCTGTCAGGAATGGTACTTATTAGGTGACCTGACAGTGAGCTCTTGCTTATCACCATGGCCAATGCCAGTTAGTACCTCGATCAGGGCCGTGTTGGCATCTACAGGAGAAATCTGTACCACAGGGAAGGGCTCACACTTAGTAGAGAACATGACAGAAGTCTAGATGGCCGGCTGGCCAATACCCTTTCCCCTACTGCTTCGCATCCACAAGTCCCATTCCTGAAGGTTGGCTTTGGGCCTATGAAGATGTCTCAACACTGGCTGGAACTCTGTCAGGTTTTAAGACACATTTGGATGATTTTTACCTGGTTGGCAGGCAGGAGCAAGCAGACCCTATGTTAGTGGCCTTGGTGAGGGGGCATTTGAGTGTGAGGAGACAATCCTGCATGGCAGGTCCAGGGAGCAGAGCCTGTGTTGTTGGCCTGGGGAAAGGACCTTACCTTGCTGGCCTGGGGGAAGAAGGGGCCTTCAGTTGGTCTGGATATGAGAATCATGTGTTGCTAGCTGGGAAAGAGAAGGCTCTGCTGGCCTGGGGAGAAGAATCTCTATGTTGTTATCTGGGGAGCCACCATGGTTTTGGCCTGGTGAAGGGCCCTGTGTTTTTGGCTGGAGGAGTCCGCTATGCTGAGCTGGGTGGGGGAGGCAAATAGAAGTCCTAATTCAAATACCATGGACTCCTGGCCTTATTCCTGATATTTCTTGAATAGATAATTTCCTCATTTACTGTTATCCTTTGAGCCATTTCCAGAAGCTTTGAAGAGTGGTTTTCATCATTTCAGGTCTCCCTGGGGAGCAGGCTGCAAAGTTCCTGCCAGGCTAAGTTCGGCTCACCCACAGTCATGAGTTTTTGGAGAAGAAAAGCTAGTTTAAAAGAAATTTTGCTCTTTTCCAGTGCTTTCTGTGGCAGTGTCATCTCTATTTCTCTCTCACTTTACTTGCCCAATCTCACTGTGGCTCACATAGGCACATGAGTCGTGGTCTGGTTAAAGCAGACTTCATGGGCCTGTGCTTTCTGTGATGAGATTGACTGTGAGCTGCAAACAATTGCTACCAGTGCCCTGTAAGAGCACCGCCTGTGTTAAACTAGCTTTCTAGAATTATCTAGCTCAAGCACATGTTCTTTTGAAGGACTGATTATTTATCCGGTAGATCTTTATTCTTGTCTTTTAAAGGAAAAGCACCTAAAGCCAGAAACACTGGCAGATGATTTTACTTATTTCAGAGTTGCTTTGCTCCAAATTCACATTGCTCAATTCAGTTCATTTGTGGTATCTGTGAACCGGTGTCATAACACAAGGTTTAGCACAGAACAGTGCTGCAGGACTCCTGCAGCTTCTCTCTGCCTTTTGCAAGATCTCCTACACTGCTGCATGCATAGTGTTTTGAGAATGCCTTTACAGAGAATACAAAAGGCTTCCTAGTCCTAGCAGTAAGCCCATTCTTCATAGTTGACTTTGCTCCAATGATTCAGGGAGACTATAGGGACTAAGGGAAAATCAGAATAGAGAGGGGACTAGAATTGGATAGTGACCTTCTAGGCCTTTTTTCCTTGATCTCTCTAAGGGCTCTAGGTCTCAGATCTGTGACTGACTTACAAATGTCTTCAGATGCTTCATTTTGGGATGCCAATTGAGGAAAATGCTTTTATTTCCTGAAGTCTAAAGAGGTGGACCTGGACACTCATTATCCCCTGCTGTGCTTTCAGCAGTGCCAGGGTGGAGGGAAGTCAGATGGCCTGGGTTAGACTCTCATTCCATTGGGAATACCTATGTCACCTTACGGCAAATGGTTGATCTCCATTTCTCTGGAGGAGAATGGGAATCCTTTGCCATGTATCTTGAGATTGGGTTGCCTGTGTGTGTGGACTATGAGGCCAATGGAAGTCTTGCCTAAGAGGTTTTTTTTTTTTTTTAAATTTATTCATGTATGTGTTGATTTATTCCTTTACTTTGCTGCTTTGCAGGAGTTTTCAACGCTTGCAAAAGAGCTCAACATTTGCAGGGAACAGCTGCTTGAGAAGGAAAAAGAAATTGCTGAACTCAAAGCAGAAAGGAACAACACGAGGGTCAGTGGAGCTCTGGTTTAAGTGTTTTGTGCTTTTTCCTTCTGTAGAGTGTGTTCAGTATTAAATGTTGCTTAAAATTTGTGATAGAAGGCAAAGCATGGTGGCATATGCCTTCAATCCCAACATTCTGAGCCAGGAATGTCTTGAGTTAGAGGTCAGCCTGGGCTAGCTAGTAAGTCCTCAAGCCAGCCTAGACTACAAAATGAGACCTTCTTGTTAATAAAAGAAATTAGTGATGGAAATTCATGACATTCGAATACAATTGAGGGAAATTTACCTAACTCTACTGAATTGTAGGAATTTGAACTTGTTTGACCATGAGATTATGAAGGATTTGAATGTGAAATTGAAGGTGCTCTTTACACGCCCCCTTTGGCCTGGTTTCAGCTGTTCCTGGAACATCTGGAGTTCCTTGTCTCCAGGCATGAACGCTCTCTCGAAACGACTGTGATGAAGCGGCAGGCGCGGTGTCCTGCAGATGTGTCCACAGAGATGGAAGTGCTAAAAGCACTGACATTCTTATTTGACCACCACAAGACCCTGGACAAAGAGGTACATGAGCTACACTAGTGGTTCTGGGTTCTTACACTTGCTGGGTTCATGGCAGACTTTGCATGTGTTTGTTTACCTTTAAGGTTTGCTAAGTTTTTGAGTTCTTGTAAACAGACTTTCTGTATTAAAAGGCAATGTTCTGCATAATCAACAAACACTAACTGGAATGTGAGTCTTCAATTGATTATTTCTGAATATTGACTGCCCATTAAGAACTGGATAGTGTTCATTTATTTAGGAACAAGAGTTTCCCGGCCTTAATATTTAAAGCCATTAACAAGGACATTTTCTTGACAGTACTAGCAATGAAAGACATTGAAAGTACTTTATTATATGCCTTTCATCAATATCAGGATAACTATATGGAAAGTGTGCGTATGCATATAAAAACTCAACTCTTTTCAGGTGCGAGAGCAATTACGTGTAGCACTGCAAAGGTGCAGCTTGCTGGAAGAGGAACTGGGCGCCACGCACAAGGAGGTAATTGTGGGACATCATCCTAGCCCTGAAAAGGGAAAATTATTTTATTTTAATCTCTTAAAAAACAGTGTGAAGCCTGTAATACTATTGGATTAGATTTTTATTTCAGATTGCAAGAATCTCTAAATTTGTTGTCAAGCAGTCAGTACATTCTGTTTCTAGTAATCTGGTTCTGCTATGGATGGTCAGCTTTGGCATGTACTGTCTTTTTTATACTATGTTCAGCACTGTAGAATTATGTTTTTCCAAATGGAATTTTGCTGTCTTTACTCATTACTCTTCCATAAGTTATTGTAGTCTCATACTCAGTTTTCGATTGTAGCTAATGGCTCTTAAAAAACAGAATAATGAGAAAAAATCACCAAGAGATGGAGTGCTTGACCATGAACAAGAAGAAACACCAAGCACTAATGGAAAGGTAAGTCCTTGAGATCTCTCTTTGTTCTGTTGCTGATTTCTTATATTTTGTGGTTCGTGTGTGATGCTGTTTGGATGCTGTTGCTGGAATGGCCTGCTTCCAGCTAAAGTGATTGTTGAGAGTCCTATCATCCAACAGATGGCATAAATCCATTTTGATAGTCCCTATGTTCAAAAGTATTTTATTTGGTAGTACACTAAGGTTATTTAAGAGTGTCCATTTTACCCATCAGAGATCTTCTGCTGGCTCCTTAAGCCATGAGGAAGACCTTGCCAAAATAATTGTGCTCCAAGAAGTCATACACAAACATTCAAAAGAGCAGAGTCAGATGAAGGAGCTCCTGGCTGCACTTTCCAGCCATGTGTCAGAGCTGCAAGAAAATCTTGACACAGCAAGAAAGGATCTCATCAAGTCTGAAGAGATGAACAAGAAATTGGAACGAGATGTTCATGAAATAAGTGATAAAAATTACAGGGTTGTCATAATGTTGAGTGCTTGGAGTGTTAAGGATAATGATTCCTTTTTTTTTTTGTCCTTTCCTTGGTCGGTTATTTTCAGCATTTGCACTGTTGAATGAGTATAAATATGAATAATACAACACAGTATTGCTGTCAGATCATGACATACCGCCTCCCCCTGGTTGAGAAATTTCTCCTTTTCTGTGGTCTTTTAAAAAGGTAGAGGAGAACTTGCCCAGCTTTTCCCACTTAGTTTATGGGAGTTTGTCCTCCACCCTCATGTGGATTCTTCATCTTTGCAGCTTCTTGGCTGTCATCATGTGTTCTTCTTTATGTTCAGCTTCTCAAGTACATGCACTCCTTAAACAAGGATTTTCAGTACTAGTTGTGCTTTGAGTTCGCTAAAGAGATGTGAGTATTCTCTGGGACTGTGGCAAAGGGAGCATTATCAGGTGTCTTCTAATTTTTTCATATTTTTCCTCAGGCACAGAGGTATGGTATTGAATTTTGGATGTTACATCAGCTCTAATGTGTGAATAGTTTTTGGGTAGTTTAGGCTTTGTGCTTATCTTGCCTATGAGATCTCATTTCATGTGAAATTGTATTTACAACATTCTGCTTTGCACCTGTACTTGTATCTTTGGTTTTATTTCTCTTGCTATACATTTTACTTTTTAGTGGCATTCTTAGCCAGAATATAATCAAATTAAGCAAGTCATTTTAGTGGAATGTTCAGTGTCAGCAGTCTGTTTTGTGACATTTGGATGTATTTATGATTTATACTGTTAACTAACTGAGCAATATTTTTCTTTTCTTTTCCTGTTTTTTTTTTTTTTTTTTGGACATATTGGGTTTGAACCTAGGGTTTTTCACATACTAGGCAAGCACCAAACCACTCACCAAACCATTTTCTTTTCTTTTTTCTTTTCTTTTGGTACTATGAATTGAACTCATGATGTTCTGCTTGACAGGCAAGTGCTATGCCATGGAGCTATATCCCTGACCCTTTTTCTTCTTTTCAAACTTATTTTATTTATTAGTGTTTGGTTTTTTGAAAAAAGGATCTTGTGGTGTAATTCAAGCTGGCCTTGAACTCATGGCAGTTCTCCTGCCTCAGCCTCTCACATGCTGGGATTACAGACATGTGGCACCAAGCCTGGCATTGTATTTTCATCTTTTTGACAATCTCATTTATCAGTTGTGTCCTTCTTTCCAGTATTTGTAAAAGAAGTGCAGCAACACATCTGTAATCCCAGCTACTTGTGGACTGAAGTGGGAGGTTTGCCAGTTTAAGGTCAGCCTGGGCAATTTAGGAAGACACTGACTCAAAAAGAGCTGAGTATCCCAAGCATAGTGGGTGAACCCTATCTTTCTAGCTACCCAGGAGACTGAGGCAGACAATCATAAGTTCAAGGGTAGGCTGCCCAATTTAGCAAGACCTTGTTTTGAAATTAAAAGGAAAAAAATATGGGACCATAGCTCAGTGTTAGAGTACCCCTGCCTTCTATTCCCAGTACCACACACAACCACGGAGGAAAACTCTTTCTTCCTGGTTCTCTAATTCAGCATGCTGGCTGACGGTCTGTGTGCTTCCATTGTTGGTTTTGATTTCTTATGCCACCCTTGTGTTTGTTTTATTTTAACCATCTCCAGATTCAATTCTAATCCAGGCCTCAGGTCCCTATCAATTTGTAGTTTGTCCATGAAGCTCCCCTCTCAGCCCCTCCCCATTCTGTGATGGCTCTGCACAGCTAACCAGGCAAGCACGTGTGAGTCTGAGCTGGATTATGACTGATTAGTGGGGCTTGGGGTTTTTGTCATTAAAAATGTATTTTGCTCAGTAGTGATCAATTATATTTAATATATAATTTGTCAATGTGGTTACAAGCAAGATATAATTGGTTGAATGTTTTTCCTTAGATTGTACAGGATCTGCATGATTCATGAGTGAAGTATTTCCTAGGTTAAAAAATAATCTGGGCTCACTGCAGTGGCACATGCCTGTAATGCCAGCTACTGGGGAAGCTAAGAAGGAGGATTTTAAGTCTGAGGCCAGCATGAGAAGTTTAGCAATGTGCTATGTCAAAATAAAAATATAAACGTGGCTGGCAGTGTAGTTTGTTGAGTGGCCCAGCTGGATTCAACCCTGCATACTGCAGGAGCAAGGGGAGGGGCCACTGCTGAGTGTAAAATTTATGGGAACTTTATACAGACAATACGAATCAGATTTTATTGATTATAATCAGAATTCTAAATCTCATCAACTTATAGGGTATATGCTATAGTCTTTAATGGACTACTTAAAATGCCTCCTATCTAGTACTGTGCTAGCTTTTATTGTTACGTATTTTAGGATGCCTAGCTTTCTTTCTTTTTTTTTTTTCCATTCCATTCCACTCCTTTGTATTCCACAGTATCTTGGATGGAATCTAGGCCTGTGCACTGAGATACACACATGACCCTTTTTTTTTTTCAGTATTATTTTTTATTGTGAGACAGGATCGTGCTAAATCACCAAGATGAGCTCAAACTTGGCAGCCTTCCTGCCTCAGCCTACCAGAGTGCTGTGATTTCATGTGTATGCCACTGCACAAGGGATAAATGATATATTTTAGGAAGTTGTAAATCATATTCTAGGTGAAGATTTTACTGCATTGCACAAAAAATGATTAACTAAAAATAAGTTTGTTCAGTTTTTTGTGTTTTTCTGAGACAGGATGACACCATGCAGTTCAGGCTGGCTTTGAACTCATGTAGTGCAGGTTGGCAGTTCTCCAGGCTTAGCTTCACAAATGCGGGGATTACAAGTCTGCACCACCATGCCTGGCTCTTCAGTTTTATAATAGATGTTGCTGTAACATCCTTGTCATCATGGGAATATTAGAGAGTAGGTGGTTATCAGGGCCCTTTGTTCTATACAGTGTCTTGCTTTAAATCGCATGTGTTCAAATAGAATGTGCTCTTTGAGTAGTAATTTATAGTGTTTTCTAATAAATCTTGGATAACTTAGATTTAAATTTGTGATAAAAGATTATTTGATTTCCAGTTATATTTTCTCTAAATCCTGTCTCTCTTATTTCTGTCTTGTCCTTCATATTGTAATATATTTGCCTGAGTAGATCCTTGAATTTTTAGCTTTAAATCGTGTCATAAATCTGGTGTCTATTTCTTTGCATGCATCTTGTTAGCCTAGCAACTTAAGGAAACATCATAGAAAGGTAAATTTTCCAGTAAGTGAGCATAGCTTTGTACCTCCCTAATGCATGGAAGAGTATAGTATGTCACACATAAGTGTAATGTTGTCAATATATTGCAATGAATAAGTGATGTTTCATTGGAAATGTTTAAACTGACCTGCCACATCACAAGTTACTGTTCTCTTGGCAATCAGCCATCCATGGAACATGGGGACAGATGTCAGTGTTTGCTTCACTCAGTGCTTTTGCCTCTAACCATTGCATGCATGTGTATAATAGACATAGAATTTAGGATTTGAAAGGACGGAATGATTGAAGCAGAGCCATAGGCTTTAGATTGAGGAAAACTAGTTTTTTCTGATATGGAAGGCTAGAATTTAGTAAGCACTGCTCTCTGCCAGGTGCCAAACTCAGTGCTTGGGCATTTTTTTGCTATATTTAGTCCACAAACACATCCCTGTGAGAAACCAGTTGCTGTGCTTGCCCCCAATTACAGATGTGGAAACTGAAATTTAGATCACATGATGTGCAGAGCAGGTAGGAGTTAAGTGTGTTTTGATTTCAAAACCAGGACCATTTCTCCCTTGGGCCTAGATTTGTCAAGATGCTCTGATCTGCTGGGAGTCTCCCTCTCAGAGTAAAACTCGAAAGTAAAAGCAGTACCCTGGGAGCAGTGGGGATTGTGGGGTTTTCTTTCTGTCCATCTAGAAGCTCCCCCTAATGCCTGCTGCCTCTGGCCCTGTGCCATGCCCACTTCATGCTTCCTGCCTTCCTGGTGGTACACTTGTGGGGCAGTGCTGCTGCAGGTGCCAAGTAGTGATTGTCCTCAGCAGCTGTGTGTGAGCTTCTCTATGTGGCTGAGCAGAAGGGAAATTTACTAAGGGCACGGGTACAGATCCTCACTCTGTTGCTGATTAGTTCCTGGCCTGGGAGCTGTTCCTTGGCCCAGTGGAACCATGGCTTGCTCTCTTGTAAGTGAGGTAGTGATCCACACAGTAGTGCTGCTTGGAATGGCCCTGATCTGTGCCTGCCCAAAGTGAGATGCCGCGCTTTCACCAGCAGCCGGCCTCAGAGCTTACCTCTGTTCAGTGGACTTCAGTGTGGTTTGGATATTTTGGTTTTGGCAGTAAGAATTTCTCAGCAAAGGAAGCAGTCTGTTGACTTAGACTCAGACACTGTGGCCTCCTCTTGTTCACTAGTCATCTCTCCTCAGCATGCAGCCTGGTGACTTTGAGAAGACTTGCTCTGGGCTGGCTGTGAAGATTAGCCTAGCAGTGAGTCTAAGGACAGCAAATATGGGCCAGACAAAGAGCGATATGGGATGGTTACTTCTTCATTTCAGTTTTACTGGGCAGACTAAGGTGACTTCTTGGCACTTGTAGACATGTCTGAGACAAGGCAGTGGGCCCTAGCCTTGTGCTTTCCTCCCACAAGAGAACAGAGGCAGAATGAAGACCTGGTTCAGTGAGCCTGGAAGGCTCTGGGCAGAGCAGGGGCTAGTGTAGGGGAGTCTTGGTGCAAGAATCTCTTTTTGTGGGTGGAGCATACGTATAGTGCCTTACCTCTTCTTTTTTCTTTTCTATTTTAAGAAATGATTATTTTAACGTGAAATTTAAATGATGCCTGGCAGACAATGTCCTAAGTTTGATTTCTTTTTCCCTCCCAAAAAGTTTTTTTGAACTTTTATGATTCATGTTGTTGATTTCAAGCTTGATGGACTTTTTTAGAGATGAGATTGCTGGCGGTTAAACACAGGGCCTCAAACAAGCTAAGTAAGTGAGCTCTGGTTACCCCAGCCCCCGACAGTCTTTTGTTTTGTTACTACAATTAGAAATGAGAGCCAGACAAGGTGATATATGCCTGTAATCCCAGCACTCAGGAGGCTGATAAGGGAGGACTGCTGGAGTTTGAAGCCAGCCTGGGCTATCATGTGAGTTCATGGCCAGCCAGAACTGTATAATGAAACCTTATCTCAAAAAAAAGAGAGAAAGATACAGAATTTATCTGTTTATCTGTTAAGATTATATCCTAGCGGGCTGGAAGTTTAGCTCAGCAGCATAAACGCCTGCCTTGTAAGCAGGCAGTCGTGAGTTCGATCCCCAGCACCAATAAAAAGGAAAAAGACAAAAAAAAAAATTATATCCTAAATGCTCTCAGCTCACACTAGTCTAGGTGGTCTTCAGTGAGCTGCTACAGGACTATAATGGAATCTGTATCCTTTATACCATTGTACAGATAAATAAATTAACTATTCACCACTTGTTGTTCACCATGAATGTTTCATGAAATCTAGTCCTGCTTCAAAACCCGAAAATAACAACCTTCTAAACAGGGCCTAACCAGACCCTGAAAGAGTTCACATATGCACTATTTCCACAGTCCTGCCTTCTTCAACACATAGGCATACTCATGGGCCATCCCCTAAAAGAAATCCCAGGGTCTGCGTGACCCTCTTTTAATAATATACCCAGGATTATTATTATTTTTTTATTTAAGGAGAAAAAGAAAAAAAAAACAGAAAAAGGATACAAGTGATACAGAATTTCAAAAAAAAAAATAAACAGTAGGAAGTCACTAGTTAATAGATTACATACTGTCATCTTAGAAATGGTTGTTCAGATTACAAAATTAAAGCATATAAAGTAGACATTCAAACTGTGAGACTACAAACAATTCTGTTCAATGATCCCACAAAAACTTAGCAATATGGTTATCTATCTTATACACTTAAATATACATGCAATTATATCCTTTAGAGCACTTTCTTTTCCTCTCTTTTTTACTATGACAATTATACATTTTGGGTTTTATTACTCCCACAGTTCTTATTACTTTCTATTTGAAGAGAATAAAATCCAATGTGACATAACAAAACAGAGTCAGTCAAATCAAAAGAATGGATATAGTACATAATATAAAAACGGAAGACAAAGTGATGATCATTGGTTACCATAATGCCTCTTGCTATCTTAAAAAGAATTGCCTATATCATCAGTTATAATAAAACTGAAAACATTAAAGAACAAAACCAATAAAAGCAAAACATTGGAGACATTGCAGGACTTCAAAAAAAGATAATATGCAAACCCAAAACCCAGGATTATTTTATGAAGCCACATGGAAGTAGGGTTTTAGGCTGCATGCAAATGCTTCTGCTCATAACATTTGGTCCACACAGTGAGAAACAGAAGCCACACACATGCATATTTGGGTCTTCGCTCATGCTGTCCTTGTCTTGTTTCTTGCTAGAGGTAAAAGTATTGACAGTTTCCCTGAGGCTTCGGCCCCCACTAGTGTTCCTTTGAGTGACATCAGTAACTGAAGATATGTGTCACAGGCTCTTCAGTAATGAGAGTAACTTTGTTAACCTGAAGTGATAAAGTGCAGTGAACAGGCTTCATTTAGGACTTCACTGTCCCTCAGTAACTATCCTCAGAGGTACCTGAGGTTGTACGGAGAACAGAATCTTGAAGGGGGGGTGATGCTGTCCCTGGGCTTCCCGGGGCTTCCATGAAGGAAGGCTATAGGTCAACCTGCCCTGCTCTCTCTCTGCTATGTGGTCCATTTCCCCCAGACAAACAGGCCTTCAGGTTGGCATTCAATTAAAATGAGACTTCTCAGGACAGGTAGAAAGTTTAGCTAATAGGTTTTGAGTCAGTTTATGTTATTTAAAGCCTATGTGATGTGTTTTCTTATAATGTACTGTTAGCTGATGTTGTTTTTTCACTCCTCAGTTGCTAGCTTGCAGAGAAGAAGAACGAGATGACAAGACAACGATAAAATGTGAAACTTCCCCTCTCTCCTCTCCGAAGTCCCTTCAGCTAGACAGGCTGCACACAGGGGCGTTGCAAATAGTCAGCCACGAGGACATCAGGGACATGCAAAAGTAAGGAGCAGGTCTCGTAGGCCACCAGACCCCTGAGAAACCTGCTTGTCTTAGTTTTTAAGAACATCTATTAATCTTTTCCTGTGAGAAAAACCAAGTTTTTAAAGAATTCTCAGCAAGCTCATTTGGTTGTGATTATTTAAACGTTAGACCTAGGATGTGTTCTCCTGTTCTGCGGCTGTAGTGACATCCAGTGGAAAAGGCCATCTGTTTGGGCAAAGTTTAGAAAGAATAGGAATTATTTGAAATTAGCACTTGAGAGAAAAGCTCCATTTCTTCAGATCCCACACACTCACTTCTTTTAAGAACTTTCTTTCTATTCCTGGTGAAGAATTTGCCACACGGATGTGGCAGGTTCTGGATCGTGCTATTCTGTGGACAATCGGTGCCTCTCAGGTACCCTCCCACACTCTGGGTCTTCTAAGCTCTTGAGAGTCCCACATTGTCCCTATCCCTTTAGGAAGCATGTTCCATCAGGAGGCCATGAAGGCTTGGTTACTTATAGACTGTTGTTTTCCACACTTCCTCTTAGAAGCTTTTGTTCCATACCAGGCAGTATGATCAAGCAGGCACATTGGTCTCCACAGTGTCCTGAGAGATAGTACAGCTCTCACTTTGCAGGAGAGCAGGATCCAAGGAACCAGCCTGCAGGAGCTGCTGAGAGGGAAGGTGGAATTCCAGTTCTGGCTTCTGAGACCTTGTTCTCTTTCCTGAGGGCTGAGTGTAAACCTCACTGGCTGAGCAAGGCCCCTGCAGAGGGTGTTCCCTTAGATGTCCAAACCAGGCAGGCTAGAGTACAGGCCTCCTCTGAGCAGGGAGCAACATCAGAATCTTGGCTTTCCAGACATAGGTCTGTGGAAGCATTACTGGGACCCTGCATTGCTATGCATAGTGTGCTGTGGGTAAGAGACTGGAAAGGATCTTCAGGGAGTTGAAGTAGGAATATTAAAAATGCAGACTGTTTTGGTACATGTGAGTGGACTGTGGAGTTCTAAAGAGGGCATGTGGTAAAAGTCCATTTTCTTTCCTTCAAGATCAAAAAGTGCCCAGGATGGTCCTGTGAGCAATCCCAGTAGCAGTGACAGCAGGCAGGACTCGCCCCACAAAGCCCCAAAGAAGAAGGGCATCAAGTCCTCCATTGGTCGTTTGTTTGGCAAAAAGGAAAAGGGTCGGCCTGGACAAACTGGCAAAGAATCACCAGGACAAGGTGGGTGGGGTTTCGGCAGCTGTCCTAACTGCTGGGAATGGGAGAACGTGAACTTTGTCCTGTGTGCCTGCCGCAGGTGCGCAGTGCCCACGTGGAGTCATGGCTGAGGGTTCTCCAGAAAAGCCCAGTCTGCTTTCTCAGTCTGCCCATGTGTGAACCAAAGCAGAGCAGTGGACATTCATTTGGCGTGAATGAATAACCCTCATAAGTGCTACTTTACACTCTTGAACATTTGTATGTGTTTGCTTGGAAGCTTACCCTTCAGAAATTATTCAGCTCTCTACCTGCAGAACCTTCAACCTATTTGTGAAACATATAACTTTGCCATGTTAATTTACTGTAAATTTGGGGGCATTTCTGATTTTTTAATAGCTGTTCTTTCTGAAACAGAAACCTCATCTCAGGATGCATTCCGACTTAGCAAATTGGGAGGAAAGGCTGAAAAAAATCGAAAATTTCAAAAAAAGTAAGCTTTTTGTTATTTCTCCATCTCATGAAACAGGTTTCTGAGTTAACAGTCATTCTTAGCTGATTTTAAGTGTAATTTCTAGCTATGTAAATACATTGTCTTTTGAAAGATGAACCTAAAGCAGTGATAGAGCTTTCAGTGATACAAAGAGCTTGCTGCAGCATGCACGCCATAGGTTTGCCTCCATTGACCTAAAGCCTGTTTTAAGCCATCATGTCTGGAGAACAGAGGACATTTGGAAATTTTGACTGAACTCACACATGTATTCTCAGTCTACCTTTTCAGAGTTGTCTCCCAGGATGATAGAATGGGTAATAGTTAGGCTTGGCCATTTGAGCTCTGGCCGCTGAATCCTGGTTAATTCTCTAGTTAGCTGTGTGTCTCTGACAAAGTTACTTATCCTGTGCTTCAGTTTTCTCAACTGTCAAATGGCAGTTACAGTTGTTCATACATCATGTGGCTGTTTTTCAGTTCAATAGAATTATATATGTGCATGTATATGTTTTATAACATGGACACAATTCCTAAATAAGTTACAATTACAGTCAGGCTTCTGAGACCTTGTTTTCTTTCCTGTTGACTGAGTGCATCCCTCAGTGCCTGAGCAAGGCCCCTGCAGAGGGTGTTCCCTTATGTGTCCAAACAAGGCAGGCTAGAGTACAGGCCTGCTCTGAGCAGGGAGCACATCAGAATCTTGGCTTTCCAGACACAGGTCTGTGGAAGCATTACTGGGACCCTGCATCACAATGCATATTGTACTGTGTGTAAGAGACTCGAAACATTTTTTAGGAAGTTGAAGGTAGGAATATTAAAAATGCAGACTGTTCTTGTACGTGTGAATGGACTGTGGAGCTGGGAAGAGGGTGGTAAAAATCCATTTTATTTCTTTGAAGCTCAACAGGCTCCCAGGAAGGTCCTGTGAACAATCCCAGTACCAGTGACAGCAGGCAGGACACGCTCCACAAAGCCCCAAAGAAGAAGAGCATCAAGTCCTCCACTGGTCGTTTGTTTGGCAAAAAGAAAAAGGGTCCGCCTGGACAAACTGGCAAAGAATCACCAAGACAAGGTGGGCCGGTTTTAGGCAGCTGTCCTAACTGCTGGGATTGGGAGAGCGTGAGCTTTTTCCTATGTACCTGCCACAGGTGTCCAGTGCCCACAAGGAATCATGGCTGAGCATTCTCCAGACAGCCCAGTCTGCCCACATGTGAACCAGAGCAGAGCAGTGGACATTCATTTGGCGTGAATGAATAACCCTCTTTTATGCTAATTTATACGCTTGAACATTTATATGTGTTTGCTAAGAAGCTTACACTTCAGAAATGATTCAGCTCTCTACCTGCAGAATCTTCTTCCTATTTGTGAAACATATAACTTTGCCATGTTAATTTACTCTAAATTTGGGGAATTTTCTTCTTTTTTGTAGCTGTTGTTTCTGAAACAGAAAACTCATCTCAGGATGCCTTCCAACTTAGCAAATTGGGAGGAAAGGATGAAAAAAATCATCAACTTCAAAAACAGTAAGCTTTTTGTTATTTCTCCATCTCATGAAACATTTTTCTGAGTTAACAGTCATTCTTAGCTGATTTTAAGTGTAATTTCTAGCTATGTAAATACATTGTCTTTTGAAAGATGAACCTAAAGCAGTGATAGAGCTTTCAGTGATACAAAGAGCTTGCTGCAGCATGCACGCCATAGGTTTGCCTCCACTGACCTAAAGCCTGTTTTAAGCCATCATGTCTGGAGAACAGAGGACATTAGGAAGTCTTGACTGAATTCACACATGTATTCTCAGTCTACCTTTTCAGAGTGTTCTCCCAGGATAATAGAATGGGTAATAGTTAGGCTTGGCCATTTGAGCTCTGGCCGCTGAATCCTGGTTAATTCTCTAGTTAGCTGTGTGTCTCTGACAAAGTTACTTATCCTGTGCTTCAGTTTTCTCAACTGTCAAATGGCAGTTACAGTTGTTCATACATCATGTGGCTGTTTTTCAGTTCAATAGAATTATATATGTGCATGTATATGTTTTATAACATGGACACAATTCCTAAATAAGTTACAATTACAGTCAGGCTTCTGAAACCTTGTTTTCTTTCCTGTTGACTGAGTGCATCCCTCAGTGCCTGAGCAAGGCCCCTGCAGAGGGTGTTCCCTTATGTGTCCAAACAAGGCAGGCTAGAGTACAGGCCTGCTCTGAGCAGGGAGCACATCAGAATCTTGGCTTTCCAGACACAGGTCTGTGGAAGCATTACTGGGACCCTGCATCACAATGCATATTATACTGTGTGTAAGAGACTCGAAACGTTTTTTAGGAAGTTGAAGGTAGGAATATTAAAAATGCAGACTGTTCTTGTACGTGTGAATGGACTGTGGAGCTGGGAAGAGGGTGGTAAAAATCCATTTTATTTCTTTGAAGCTCAACAGGCTCCCAGGAAGGTCCTGTGAACAATCCCAGTACCAGTGACAGCAGGCAGGACACGCTCCACAAAGCCCCAAAGAAGAAGAGCATCAAGTCCTCCACTGGTCGTTTGTTTGGCAAAAAGAAAAAGGGTCCGCCTGGACAAACTGGCAAAGAATCACCAAGACAAGGTGGGCCGGTTTTAGGCAGCTGTCCTAACTGCTGGGATTGGGAGAGCGTGAGATTTTTCCTATGTGCCTGCTGCAGGTGTCCAGTGCCCACGAGGAGTCATGGCTGAGCGTTCTTCTGACAGCCCAGTTTGCCCACATGTGAAACAAAGCAGAGCAGTGGACATTCATTTGGCTTGAATCAATAACCCTCTTATATGCTAATTTATACGCTTGAATATTTATATGTGTTTGCTCAGAAGCTTACAGTTCAGAAATGATTCAGCTCTCTACCTGCAGAATCTTCTTCCTATTTGTGAAACATATAACTTTGCCATGTTAATTTACTCTAAATTTGGGGAATTTTCTTCTTTTTTGTAGCTGTTGTTTCTGAAACAGAAAACTCATCTCAGGATGCCTTCCAACTTAGCAAACTGGGAGGAAAGGATGAAAAAAATCGTCAACTTCAAAAACAGTAAGCTTTTTGTTATTTCTCCATCTCATGAAACAGTTTTCTGAGTTAACAGTCATTCTTAGCTGATTTTAAGTGTAATTTCTAGCTATGTAAATACATTGTCTTTTGAAAGATGAACCTAAAGCAGTGATAGAGCTTTCAGTGATACAAAGAGCTTGCTGCAGCATGCACGCCATAGGTTTGCCTCCACTGACCTAAAGCCTGTTTTAAGCCATCATGTCTGGAGAACAGAGGACATTTGGAAGTCTTAACTGAATTCACACATGTATTCTCAGTCTACCTTTTCAGAGTGTTCTCCCAGGATAATAGAATGGGTAATAGTTAGGCTTGGCCATTTGAGCTCTGGCCGCTGAATCCTGGTTAATTCTCTAGTTAGCTGTGTGTCTCTGACAAAGTTACTTATCCTGTGCTTCAGTTTTCTCAACTGTCAAATGGCAGTTACAGTTGTTCATACATCATGTGGCTGTTTTTCAGTTCAATAGAATTATATATGTGCATGTATATGTTTTATAACATGGACACAATTCCTAAATAAGTTACAATTACAGTCAGGCTTCTGAAACCTTGTTTTCTTTCCTGTTGACTGAGTGCATCCCTCAGTGCCTGAGCAAGGCCCCTGCAGAGGGTGTTCCCTTATGTGTCCAAACAAGGCAGGCTAGAGTACAGGCCTGCTCTGAGCAGGGAGCACATCAGAATCTTGGCTTTCCAGACACAGGTCTGTGGAAGCATTACTGGGACCCTGCATCACAATGCATATTGTACTGTGTGTAAGAGACTCGAAACGTTTTTTAGGAAGTTGAAGGTAGGAATATTAAAAATGCAGACTGTCCTTGTACATGTGAATGGACTGTGGAGCTGGGAAGAGGGTGGTAAAAATCCATTTTATTTCTTTGAAGCTCAACAGGCTCCCAGGAAGGTCCTGTGAACAATCCCAGTACCAGTGACAGCAGGCAGGACGCGCTCCACAAAGCCCCAAAGAAGAAGAGCATCAAGTCCTCCACTGGTCGTTTGTTTGGCAAAAAGAATAAGGTTCTGCCTGGACAAACTGGCAAAGAATCACCAAGACAAGGTGGGCCGGTTTTAGGCAGCTGTCCTAACTGCTGGGATTGGGAGAGCCTGAGATTTTTCCTATGTGCCTGCTGCAGGTGTCCAGTGCCCACGAGGAGTCATGGCTGAGCGTTCTTCTGACAGCCCAGTTTGCCCACATGTGAAACAAAGCAGAGCAGTGGAAATTCATTTGGCTTGAATGAATAACCCTCTCATATGCTAATTTATACGCTTGAACATTTATATGTGTTTGCTCAGAAGCTTACACTTCAGAAATGATTCAGCTCTCTACCTGCAGAATCTTCTTCCTATTTGTGAAACATATAACTTTGCCATGTTAATTTACTCTAAATTTGGTGAATTTTCTTCTTTTTTGTAGCTGTTGTTTCTGAAACAGAAAACTCATCTCAGGATGCCTTCCAACTTAGCAAATTGGGAGGAAAGGATGAAAAAAATCGTCAACTTCAAAAACAGTAAGCTTTTTGTTATTTCTCCATCTCATGAAACAGTTTTCTGAGTTAACAGTCATTCTTAGCTGATTTTAAGTGTAATTTCTAGCTATGTAAACACATTGTCTTTTGAAAGATGAACCTAAAGCAGTTGTAGAGCTTTCAGTGATACAAAGAGCTTGCTGCAGCATGCACGCCATAGGTTTGCCTCCACTGACCTAAAGCCTGTTTTAAGCCATCATGTCTGGAGAACAGAGGACATTTGGAAGTCTTAACTGAATTCACACATGTATTCTCAGTCTACCTTTTCAGAGTGTTCTCCCAGGATAATAGAATGGGTAATAGTTAGGCTTGACCATTTGAGCTCTGGCCGCTGAATCCTGGTTAATTCTCTAGTTAGCTGTGTGTCTCTGACAAAGTTACTTATCCTGTGCTTCAGTTTTCTCAACTGTCAAATGGCAGTTACAGTTGTTCATACATCATGTGGCTGTTTTTCAGTTCAATAGAATTATATATGTGCATGTATATGTTTTATAACATGGACACAATTCCTAAATAAGTTATAATTACAGTCAGGCTTCTGAAACCTTGTTTTCTTTCCTGTTGACTGAGTGCATCCCTCAGTGCCTGAGCAAGGCCCCTGCAGAGGGTGTTCCCTTATGTGTCCAAACAAGGCAGGCTAGAGTACAGGCCTGCTCTGAGCAGGGAGCACATCAGAATCTTGGCTTTCCAGACACAGGTCTGTGGAAGCATTACTGGGACCCTGCATCACAATGCATATTGTACTGTGTGCAAGAGACTCGAAACGTTTTTTAGGAAGTTGAAGGTAGGAATATTAAAAATGCAGACTGTTCTTGTACGTGTGAATGGACTGTGGAGCTGGGAAGAGGGTGGTAAAAATCCATTTTATTTCTTTGAAGCTCAACAGGCTCCCAGGAAGGTCCTGTGAACAATCCCAGTACCAGTGACGGCAGGCAGGACGCGCTCCACAAAGCCCCAAAGAAGAAGAGCATCAAGTCCTCCACTGGTCGTTTGTTTGGCAAAAAGAATAAGGTTCTGCCTGGACAAACTGGCAAAGAATCACCAAGACAAGGTGGGCCAGTTTTAGGCAGCTGTCCTAACTGCTGGGATTGGGAGAGCCTGAGATTTTTCCTATGTGCCTGCTGCAGGTGTCCAGTGCCCATGAGGAGTCATGGCTGAGCGTTCTTCTGACAGCCCAGTTTGCCCACATGTGAAACAAAGCAGAGCAGTGGAAATTCATTTGGCTTGAATGAATAACCCTCTTATGTGCTAATTTATACTCTTGAAGATTTATATGTGTTTGCTCGGAAGCTTACCCTTCAGAAATGATTCAGCTCTCTACCTGCAGAATCTTCTTCCTATTTGTGAAACATATATCTTTGCCCTGTTAATTTACTCTAAATTTGGGGGCTTTTCTTCTTTTTTGTAGCTGTTGTTTCTGAAACAGAAAACTCATCTCAGGATGCCTTACAACTTAGCAAACTGGGAGGAAAGGATGAAAAAAATCATCAACTTCAAAAACAGTAAGCTTTTTGTTATTTCTCCATCTCATGAAACAGTTTTCTGAGTTAACAGTCATTCTTAGCTGATTTTAAGTGTAATTTCTAGCTATGTAAATACATTGTCTTTTGAAAGATGAATCTAAAGCAGTGATAGAGCTTTCAGTGATACAAAGAGCTTGCTGCAGCATGCACGCCATAGGTTTGCCTCCATTGACCTAAAGGCTGTTTTAAGCCATCATGTCTGGAGAACAGAGGACATTTGGAAATTTTGACTTAACTCACACATTTATTCTCAGTCTCCCTTTGCAGAGTTGTCTCCCTAGTGGACAGAGTGGTTAAGAGTTAGGCTTAGACATTTGAGCTCTGGCCGCTGAATCCTGGTTAATTCTCTAGTTAGCTGTGTGTCTCTGACAAAGTTACTTAGCTTGTGCTTCAGTTCTCTAAACTGTCAAATGGCAGTTACAGTTGTTCATACATCATGTGGTTTTTTTTCAGTTCAATAGAATTATATATGTGCACGTATATGGTTTAAAACATGGACACAGGTCCTAAATATGTTACAATTATAGTCAGGCTTCTGAGACCTTGTTCTCTTTCCTGTTGACTGAGTGCATCCCTCAGTGCCTGAGCAAGGCCCCTGCAGAGGGTGTTCCCTTATGTGTCCAAACCAAGCAGGCTAGAGTACAGGCCTGCTCTGAGCAGGGAGCACATCAGAATCTTGGCTTTCCAGACACTGGTCTGTGGAAGCATTACTGGGACCCTGAATCACAATGAATATTGTATTGTGTGTAAGAGAGTTGAAAAATTCTTTAGGAAGTTGAAGGTAGGAATATTAAAAATGCACACTTTTCTTGTACATGTGAATGGACTGTGGAGCTGTGAAGAGGGTGGTAAAAGTCTATTTTCTTTCCTTCAAGCTCAATAGGCTCCCAGGATGTTCCTGTGAGCGTTCCCAGCAGCAGTGACAGCAGGGAGGACCCACTCCACAAAGCTCTAAAGAAGAAGAGCATCAAGTCCTCCACTGGTCGTTTGTTTGCCAAAAAGGAAAAGGGTCCGCCTGGACAAACTGGCAAAGAATCACCAAGACAAGGTAGGCCGGTTTTAGGCAGCTGTCCTAACTGCTGGGATTGGGAGAGCATGCGCTTTTTCCTATGTACCTGCCACAGGTGTCCAGTGCCCACAAGGAATCATGGCTGAGCATTCTCCAGACAGCCCAGTCTGCCCACATGTGAACCAGAGCCGAGCAGTGGACATTCATTTGGCGTGAATGAATAACCCTCTTATATGCTAATTTATACACTTGAACATTTATATGTGTTTGCTCGGAAGCTTACCCTTCGGAAATTATTCAGCTCTCTACCTGCAGAATCTTCTTCCTATTTGTGAAACATATAACTTTGCCATGTTAATTTACTCTAACTTTGGGGAATTTTCTTCTTTTTTGTAGCTGTTGTTTCTGAAACAGAAAACTCATCTCAGGATGCCTTCCAACTTAGCAAACTGGGAGGAAAGGATGAAAAAAATCGTCAACTTCAAAAACAGTAAGCTTTTTGTTATTTCTCCATCTCATGAAACAGTTTTCTGAGTTAACAGTCATTCTTAGCTGATTGTAAGTGTAATTTCTAGCTATGTAAATACATTGTCTTTTGAAAGATGAATCTAAAGCAGTGATAGAGCTTCCAGTGATACAAAGAGCTTGCTGCAGCATGCACACCATAGGTTTGCCTCCATTGACCTAAAGCCTGTTTTAAGCCATCATGTCTGGTGAACAGAGGACATTTGGAAATCTTGACTGAATTCACACATGTATTCTCAGTCTACCTTTTCAGAGTTGTCTCCCAGGATGATAGAATGGGTAATAGTTAGGCTTGGCCATTTGAGCTCTGGCCACTGAATCCTGGTTAATTCTCTAGTTAGCTGTGTGTCTCTGACAAAGTTACTTATCCTGTGCTTCAGTTTTCTCAACTGTCAAATGGCAGTTACAGTTGTTCATACATCATGTGGCTGTTTTTCAGTTCAATAGAATTATATATGTGCATGTATATGTTTTATAACATGGACACAATTCCTAAATAAGTTACAATTACAGTCAGGCTTCTGAAACCTTGTTTTCTTTCCTGTTGACTGAGTGCATCCCTCAGTGCCTGAGCAAGGCCCCTGCAGAGGGTGTTCCCTTATGTGTCCAAACAAGGCAGGCCAGAGTACAGGCCTGCTCTGAGCAGGGAGCACATCAGAATCTTGGCTTTCCAGACACAGGTCTGTGGAAGCATTACTGGGACCCTGCATCACAATGCATATTGTACTGTGTGTAAGAGACTCGAAACGTTTTTTAGGAAGTTGAAGGTAGGAATATTAAAAATGCAGACTGTTCTTGTACGTGTGAATGGACTGTGGAGCTGGGAAGAGGGTGGTAAAAATCCATTTTATTTCTTTGAAGCTCAACAGGCTCCCAGGAAGGTCCTGTGAACAATCCCAGTACCAGTGACAGCAGGCAGGACACGCTCCACAAAGCCCCAAAGAAGAAGAGGATCAAGTCCTCCATTGGTCGTTTGTTTGGCAAAAAGGAAAAGGGTCCGCCTGGACAAACTGGCAAAGAATCACCAAGACAAGGTGGGCCGGTTTTAGGCAGCTGTCCTAACTGCTGGAATTGGGAGAGCATGAGCTTTTTCCTATGTACCTGCCACAGGTGTCCAGTGCCCACAAGCAATCATGGCTGAGCATTCTCCAGACAGCCCAGTCTGCCCACAATTGAACCAGAGCAGAGCAGTGGACATTCATTTGGCGTGAATGAATAACCCTCTTATATGCTAATTTATACGCTTGAACATTTATATGTGTTTGCTCAGAAGCTTACACTTCAGAAATGATTCAGCTCTCTACCTGCAGAATCTTCTTCCTATTTGTGAAACATGAAACTTTGCCCTGTTAATTTACTCTAAATTTGGGGGCTTTTCTTCTCTTTTGTAGCCGTTGTTTCTGAAACGGAAAACTCATCTCAGGATGCCTTCCAACTTAGCAAATTGGGAGGAAAGGATGAAAAAAATCATCAACTTCAAAAAAAGTAAGCTTTTTGTTATTTCTCCATCTCATGAAACAGTTTTCTGAGTTATCTATCATTCTTAGCTGATTTTAAGTGTAATTTCTAGCTATTGTAAATACATTGTCTTTTGAAAGATGAACCTAAAGCAGTGATAGAGCTTTCAGTGGTACAAAGAGCTTGCTGCAACATGCATGCCATAGGTTTGCCTCCATTGACCTAAAGCCTGTTTTAAGCCATCATGTCTGGAGAACAGAGGACATTTGGAAACTTTGACTGAACTCACATGTGTATTCTCAGTCTTCCTTTGCAGAGTTGTCTCTCTAGATGATAGAATGGGTAATAGTTAGGCTTGGCCATTTGAGCTTTGGCTGCTGAATCCTGGTTAATTCTCTAGTTAGCTGTCTGACAAAGTTATTTAGCTTAGGCTTCAGTTTTCTCAACTGTCAAATGACTGTTACAGTTGTTCATGCATCGTGTGGCTTTTTCTCAGTTTGATAGAATTATATATGTGCATGTGTATGTTTTAAAACTTGGACACAAGTCCTAAATAAGCTATAATTAAGGTCACTGTTGTGACTTCTATTGTTTACACAAGTGGTCCTCCAGAAGCATTTACCGTGATATAATTTTACATTTTATCTGAGATTGGATCTCTACTTTACAGTGTATTATTGAACTATAATCCTCTACTAAATCTTAAGGGGCTGAGGAGTGGAGTATAAGTGAGAGCGTACTGGCTTGACATACCATCCCTAGGCCCACATAAAGATAGATTCTGAAAATAATATATACTGTTCCGAATGATTTTGCATAGGGGAGCACAGGCACCAACATATCAGGGAAGTATGTACACTTCTCTGATGTAGGATTGGTTGTGTAAGCTGATCACACCCAAAACTAGAGTTATAAGTGAACTAGATAGGTTGAGACATTTTCCTAGTGAGATGATTAATAAAATATCAATCAAAAAGCTTTCTGCAACAAAATCAGACAGTATGTAATGTCTAAGAGGTACAATTTGAACTTGACAGTAGGGAAAGTTTGAAAGCCTAAGGTAAGATGGGCACACTGGTCTTGAGAAAAGGTGAAAGTTGGTGGGTTCTTGGATAAATTTGTATATGGGAAACATCAGGTGTCCACTTCTCAGTGAAGCCAGTACTGTGTGGAACTCAGAGTGCAAAGGCCCTGACACTAGCGTTGCACTCGAATCCCTAGGAACCCTTTCTGCTGGAAAGTTATGAAATCTCACTCATTTTAGTTGTCTTCTCTGAATTCATGACTGCCTTTTTTTTTTTTTAAACTTCTATTGGTATGTGTTTGCAGTACATAATAATCATGTTGGTTCTTGGGAGTTGATACATGTCCATGACACATTTCTATTCTTTATTTTCCACCATCCTTGTATTTTGCCAGAATCCCATTCATGCATTTCTCTTATAAACCCTTGTCATGTATACAGATTAAAAATAAGACTATTAAAAAGAAATATATATATATATATATAAGATATATATATCAATATCAATATATATTATATATATATATATATATCAAACATACCAGACTATAAGCCAAAACACATATAAAAGATGGAACACAATTGTACTAAGTCGAAGTATTCCTTTAGATATATTTTCCATGCTGAGTTACAATAACTTTTTTCTTCTATTGTCTGTCTTTTATTTCATAGCTAACTTATATATGAAGTTTTTCATATTATAATGAGTCTTTTGTTTTTTATTTTATTCATTTATTTTTTGAGACAAGAATCATACTTTGTAATTCAGGCTGGACTGAACTCACAGCAGTCCTCCTGATTTAGTTGCCCAAGTGGTGGGATTACAGGCATGTGCTACCGCACTTGGCCATAGTAACTGTTTTAAGCAGCTCAACAGTGATGACATGCCATTGCAGGTGAAATTCTGTTATGGAAACATTCTATACAAATACTCAATCTTTGGTGCTCTGTAAATAGAATTTT